ATTAATTAATTAAACTATTAAATTATTTACTGTTTCTCTCTCAGCCCATGAGTTTTACCTTTTTCCAATTCCCCTCCCCATCCCACTGGAAGGAGGTAGGGGGAGGGATCAAATGACTGTGTTGTACTTAATTGCTGACTGGGGTTAAACCATGAAAATTGACAGCGAGATGTTTATTTAAATAAAGATTTACCATTTAATAGTTTCATATTGTATTTCATAATCTTAGGGTTATTCTACACCCTTCCTTTATGGTACCAAACTTTTCTTTAATATGACAAAAAGCAGTCTGTCACATGACAACCAACTTCCATAATGGGAAGACTGCAAAGCTGCAAGATAAAATCTTACTGTCAAGGAGTAAACTCATTATAACCCCTCATTAGCAACATCTAAAGAAAACCAGAAAAATACAGATACTGCTTTTTACTTTATATTATTTATATTCTGAGTCTGGCAAAAACCTGTGAAAAATCTCTCATAAGGGACAAATGTTACAGTGACACAGAGCCAAGGGAAAAGCTTTACAGTAGAAATTGTTCATTGACTCTGTGACTGCAAGTGTGGAAGAGCAGAAAGAATTAAATAACATTAATTTAAGAAACAACAACAACAAAGCCAAGGCACAGAATTGGTGTATAAACAGCTTTAACTGTATATATTCATTTCCAGTGGCTCTGAAAACAAATGGAAGATTACTAGGATCAGATTAACTGTAACAAATGCAAGGAAATGTATGAAGCTGTTAGAAAAGCTTTTTATAGTAGAGCAGTTAAATCTAGTTAATTGTGTTTGATTTTTGTTTTCATAATTACTTCCATTGTTTTACTGAACTCCTGCTGAATGTCTGACATAGTTTAGCTGTTGTGCCGTAATTAAAAAAATAAACATATAGAAACTGAATACTAATGTGATTAGTGTTGTGTTACATGCTTTAATATATGTGCTGCTCATACTGGTTGAGAGCTGCTTCACGCTTAGCTGAGGAGATAATACGTGATTTAAAACAAAGAAGCAGCTCTGCTAAGTTAGTGTAGTTAATGGAAGCATTTGACTCTATGTGAAGGTAACAAAGGTCATTCTGTTCATATAAGGAGGTCCTGAGCAAGGTCACATGTCATAAGAAGATCAAGAGTAAGTCTTTGCAATGAGAAACCCAAATTATTTTAATTCCCACTGTAAATCTCACATAGGTATTGTCCAAGCTAGTAGCCTTTTGTAGCACTGTGGGCAGTAGTCAGGGGTGAGCTGGCTTGAGGTTGCAGCATAAATGTCTGTTGAACTGCTCCTGTGCAGTAGGTTTTATAGATCTTGAACTGGTGTATTGTAGAAGCGTAGAGCATTTGACATACTGACAGCAAAACATAACATGCATGATGTTCATACAGGTAGCTTTTGTGGGTCTTGCTTACTGAATCAGATTTCTAAACTGTAATTATATGATGCACTTGGAGCACAATTGAAGGCAAGGTAGAGCAGTGCCTTGGAATGCATGCACATTCCTGTATCTGTCACACAGGCAGAAAATCTGATTGTATCCGGAGGAGTGTAACTGAGACCATGTTTTAAACTGCAAACAAAACCATTCCCTTTCACTCTGGGACTAATTTTGATCTCCCTTGCTTTGAGATAAACCCAATAAAGATGGTTAAAGATGCAGATGCTCATTGTGGCTCAGTGAGATGTATCTGAAAATGCTAACACTGGCCAACAGATAAAGAAGCAGCATGGGCTATTTTTTGATCAGAGTATCACACCTAAGTCCTGTACTTAAATGGGCCAGTTATTCCTTCATACTTTTTTTTTTTCTGATGTATTTCATACTTTGTATTTCTGAGTACAGGTACTCATTTAGCACAGTTGTTGAGACTGAAAATTATCAGGAGGAACACCACATGGGTTTGTGTAAATGAAGTGAACCATTTTACAGTGTTTGCTATTACTGAAAAGATGAATATACCTAGCAATGTCACACCCAAAGTAGCTTAATTTTTACCCTGTACCATGAAACTGCATTCTAATACCTTTTAGGCAGGTGACAGTCTGGTTTAGTAGGGTTGTGCTTGAAAAGCAGTGGATACTGTAGGAGCAGCCTGAAAGGCAGTGGCAACCTCTTATGTCAGAAATGTGCTATCCTATTTTGTGCTCGGCCCTGGCTCCAGCCAGTGGTTGTCAATTATTTTCTTTTCATGCCAGATGTCAGTCTGGCACCTGTTGAATTGAAAGGAAAACCAAGTCAAAGAACTGCAATGCCTTCTTTCAATTTATTTTACCATGGCATATTAGGTAAAATTCTTTCTGAATAAAAACCAATAGTGAATACATGATTGAGTCCACAGCTCTTCCTTTAAGCTAAGCATCTTCATTACCATTCATGGACCTTTTATATAATTGCTTGTGTAGGGGCTGCACATGATGCATCATCTAATTTGGAAAAGAGTACTCAGCAGGTGTGGTGATTTTATACACTAAAAATGAATATTTAAGACCCAAGGGAAGCTATTCACAACTTTGGGGAGGTGGGGAGATGGTAGAAGCTTCATTTAAAATAGTTTATGGCTCTTTTAAAGCACTAATAAAAGAAGTATCTCAACATTTCCTAGGGTGATTCATCACAGGCTGACTTGTCTGTTTAGGATTTTCCCAAATGTCTTTCTAGTTAGATAAAAGATGCACATGAATGTGCAAAATGATTTGTCTGTTTTGTCTGAATGATGACAGTTTGCAGAAAACTGAATTTGCCACATTCCTAGTTTTCCTTCATAGCTGAATTGGGTGTTAAATGTTGCTCCTTATACCTTTTTGATTTGTCAGAGTACTTTGCATTCATAGGGCAGAAAAGCTGGATTCCATCCTCCACATCAACCTGTTGGGGAACTTAACTTGTATGGATATTTAAAAGAATATATAGGAAAAACCAAATTATTTCCTAAAAAGGCCACCCCAGGATGAAGTAATCCACTACCAGCGCTATAACCCCAGGCCTCAGAGTCTGGTTACGGTTACATCAGAAACTTGTATCAGTGTACTTGTAACAGCATGATTTCAGAAACATGCAGTGTTGACTCTTACTTTGTTACCTGTGGGTTTTACAGTGTCATTGATAGGAGCAGTATGCAGCCAGTGCACGTTGAGTTACAAGATGTGGCTATTGGCAAATGACCGTGCTTGGGAGTTCGTCTTTTCAAAGGTTTATTTTTCCATGCACGGACTGATGTCAGTGGTGCGTACCATGACACTAAAGGAAAAATAAATAAATAAATTAAAGATTTCCTACCTAACATAAGTGATTCTGTGCACTTTATACTAGATATGCATATAAACACAGAAGCCAGGGAAATTATCAGTGGTTTTCAAGCAGGCATGTAAGGGACTCTCTTTAGAGTAGTTGTACAAGATATGTGATATAAGGAAAAGAAATGGAATGTAATCATTATCCAAATACAGTGAATAAAGATAAGAGTTCTCCACAATTTATCTACCAAATGTGTGTCTCTGTCTAACACTGAGTGACTCTAATACCACAGTTGTTAATATTAAGTCTGTCCACATATTTTGTGCAAAATCTCTGTGGTGAGGCATTCATTGCGTTGAAAAGCTGACACAATGGAATGCTTTTTGTGCTGGCTCTGGACAAATTATAGTCCATTTTATCAGTTCCAAGGTCAGAGTACTATCATGCCTCTTTAACTGTAGAGTAGTAAAGTGGGCTCTATTGAATGTTCAAGCAACAGCTGTAAGTGTGCCTGATTACTGCAGTCAGGTATCTCCAGTATCAAAGGTTTTTGTCTGAACCCATTTCTCTTGTCTCCAATTCTCATTTTTGCTGTAATTTAATCTCAGAATTGACTTTCACTGCAATGTATTTGGAGCTGTAGAGATCAGACATACTTTCAAGACACACGGCAGCCATTGTTAATATGTCACTGTAGAAATGCTTTCTTTGCTTGTTTTGACTCTAGTGCTAGTTTAAGCATAAGTCAAAGGGCACTGTTATTAAACACCTTGTACTGCCAGAATCTGTGGTTTTTTCCCTATAATTTTTGTGGACCAGTTCTATTTTTAGAATTGAAAAACTTAAGCCCTTTCACACAAAACCTGAACTAGATTTTCATGGACTTAATATCTCTGTTTCCCTCTCCAACTTGTTTTTCCTTCCCTTTCAAACAAAACTGCAATCAATATGAAACATTATTTTTATACCCTGCATGCCTGCACTGGTGTGGGAATATTCATTTTCCTGTGAATAAAAATCATCATATTGTTTTGTCATTTTGGCCTCTCTGAAATGCAGAACAATTATTTCAAATTAAGATCAGAATTATTTTTTCCCTAATAAAAAAAGTGTTACTCACCAGAATCTGCTCCTTTTTTCGTGGCATACAGCCTAAAGCTCCTGATATCCCCTTTGTGATTAACCATGTTTCCTTGCCCATTTTGCACTTTCTCTTTTCCCCTTTAATATAGCAGTTCATCAGCCTTGGTTTTTGATGTGCAAAGTGGGTCATTTTAATAACATCCCTCTACCCTCAAACTTTGCCTTTCCTTTTCTGGTTCACTCTCTTGAATTCATGACCAACTGTACAGCCAGCTTATTGATTCAGTAGTGTGACTTTTGCTCTTTGGGAGCAGGGGAAGAAATATGGGTGCCTTTCTCTTATCTGCCCTGGAACCCCAGCACACATGGGCGTCAAAGAGCCCAGAGTTCCTGTAGAGTAAAATGAGGGCAAAACCACAAATAAAGGTGATGTCTCTTGGTAAGGTGGAGCTTAGTGTGTATTTAGGTGATATGATGTGTTTCATTGGCTTACTGTCTTAGTCTGACTTCTGAAACTTGCGTTATTATTAAGTAGCTTGTGGATAATTTTGAGAATTGCCATTGCAGTTGCAGTAACGCTATTTTTAGCCTTGTTCTTTTAACTCTTTAGGAATGCTGGCATAGTCTATAACTTTCTGTAGAGGGATAAGCTGTTGAAATATTTTTTTCCTTTCCTTTTCAGGGAGTAATATGTGGGAGGCTGTGGACTATTTGCTTCCGACATAGGAACAACTTTGGGTTTGGAATCTGCACTCCTGAGAGAATGCTGGGAATCTGCAGAGGGCGACGGAAATTCTTGGCTGCCTCTCTGACCGTCCTTTTTGTCCCAGCTATTACATGGATTTATCTGTTTGCTGGGAGTTTTGAAGGTAGGAGAGGAATAATGGCTGAGGAGGGGTGGTGGGCTGTTGAATGATTTGTATCTGGGCAGACAAATGCAGATCAGTCATCAGTGATTTTATTTAAATAAATCTCATTTGACTTGTGTATGAAATAGTTCCCAAGGTGCAGATTTCAACAAAGGGCCTTCCTTACCATGTTCTCACTGCTGAGGTTGAGTTAATTACTGGCAATGGTTATTTAATTTTCTACTCATCTCTGAACTTTGAAAAAGTGCAACAACCCCTCCACCCCACCACTTTACTCATTTCTTCTCTGTATTTTCTAATTTTTAAAAGTTGATCTATCCTATGCCTTGTAAGTTTTTACTTTTAATTAAAATTAACATCTCATTTCAGATGTGCCCAACACAGAAAATCAATGAATACCTATATGAAATTTCTTTATATAAAATTAGTTTGAATCCACATCCATGTAAGTGGCAGTGGGTTTCTATAGGAGGAATATATTTCTGTCCCCTTCTTTCTTGAGGTGGAAATCCTCCAGTTTATAGGTACATTGACTTGCAGCCGTATAATGAGCACTTTTTATAATGAGACTTGCCATAATCACTACTTTGCCTTTTAAATTTCCTGTCTGATGAAGTTTTTTTAGTGGCCTTACTGAATTTCAGCAGTAATATTTCAGTTAGGTGAGGTTTGAAGATTCTGGCTCTCCTGGTTTTTGTTACTTTGTAGCTTTGTTTGGTTGGTTGGTTTGTTTGTTGTGGAGATGGAACATTTTATGTTTGGCAATAGTAATTGTGTTATTTTGGCAAGAGTAAAAAAAACCCGTTCAGCCCTTTTATTTATCTTAGCACGAGGAAAGGTGTTTCAACCTTTTAAAAACTGTTCAGACACTATTTAACAACCAGATAATTTTAAAAAGGCATTGTTTAAAATGTCAAGCTTCTTTCATGTAACCTTGGCTGACAACTTTGTGCTTTGTTTTGAAACAAAATGGGTTTCCAAGTTAAATTACAAGAACATATAAAGATTTTCAGTGTATATTACATACACTTCTGAATTAGTTACATGCCAGGTACAAATGTTTGCTTATGCAAATTTATTTGATTATTAAAATTCTACCTTAATGCTCAGTAATGCTGTGAGCTCATTCTAGAATGAAACACTTGTGGAATTCATGTTAAATTGGAAATATGAGGGGTCCTGGCTGCATACTTGAAAACTAATGATCTGTCAGGCAGAACAGTACTGACTTTGTTTGATTTTTGAAAGCTGAGCAAATGCAGGCCTCACCTTTTTGCTTTTAGAAGAATATTATCCTGCCTTGAGGTAATGACTATTTTAATTGTGTCCACAGTTGATAATGCCATAGTGTTTTAAATTCCTCTGTGTGTAGAATCCTTTGTTTTTACAGAGAACTCAATACAAATCTTGAAATTTGCTGCTACGTGGTATTTGAAGTGACTTAAAGCTCTCAGTGTGAATTAATCTTAAATGCAAACCAGGGAGCAAAACCCATTACCTATTACAAAGCCTTGCACTGGAAAAGGGCTGGAAATGATTTAGTTAGTAACTCTTTCAGTTACTTTTCTGTATCTGTTTTCTTTTTCTTTTTGGATGGGGCATTATTTAATCTTCATTGGTTGAGAACTAAGGTCACTTAGATATTTATTTAACCTCATTTTCCTTAACTTGTAGATATTATGTGCAATGAGTTAAAGCCGTTTTGTTATTTTATATAACTTCTTGTTTTGTTCTCCACAATGGTTCACACAATTTGCTCATATTTTGAGCTCTCCATGGAGGTTATAGTGAGGTGGGGGTGGCTTTATTCTCCCAGGTGACAAGCAATAGAACAAGAGGAAATGGTTTCAAGTTGCACCAGAGGAGGTTTAGTTTGGATATTAGGAAAAATTACTTCGTGGAAAGGGTTGACAAGCACTGGAACACTCTGCCCAGGGAAGTGGTTGAGTCCCTGTCTCTGGAGGTATTTAAAAGAGGTGTAGATGTGGCACTTAGGGACGTGGTTTAGTGGTGGACATGGCAGTGCTGGGTGAACGGTTGGACTCAATGATCTTAGAGGTCTTCTCTAATTGTGTCATCCTGTCATTCTATATAGTTGAGAAAAAAATTGTCTTGCAACATCGTTATACCTTGATTTGAAACCGACAGAAGTGAAGAGTTCTCTCTGTCTTCTGGCATTAGTTTCTTTGATTAATCACAGCACTAGAATTTTTCTTTTCCATTCATCCAGTTTTAGATTTGAGTAAATGGTTCTTTTTAGACTTTTCTCCACTAAATTAAAAGATATTGTCAATACCTGGCGTCTTCATAGACTCACTTATTTATTCAGTGTGTAAGAGGCCTCAGGAGTCCTCTCGTTAAAGTCCTGCTCAAATCAGTGTGGGTTTTGGGATCAGACAAGATATCTTAGGCCTTTATTCAGTAGTGTCTTGAAAACCTACAAGGACAGAGACTTCATGGCCTTCCTGAGCAACTTGGGCCAGTGCTTGATTGCCCTTAGGTGAAAGAGTTTCTCCTCCTTGCTTCAATTTGTGTCTGATGTCACCCCTCCTCTCCCCATGTATCAATGCGGAGAGTTGAGTTCTGTATTCTTGCAGCTTGCTTGTAGGTACTAAGGGGCTGCTGATAAGTCCCACAGAGCCTTCTCTTTTTCAAGCTGAACAAGCCCAGGGCAAGAACTTCAACCCCTGTACAACTTCATAGCCCTATTCTGAACTTCATCAATGTTTTCTGTTTGGGACCCCAGACTGGACTCAGTGTTCCAGATGTGGTCTAATGAGTATCAAGTAATGGGAAATGGTCACTTTCCTCAGCCTATTTGCTATGTTCCTGTTGATGATTTTTAATGTTCTCTATACCAGGACTGCAGATTTTTCCCAGGAGGGCTAGTCCACAGCCTGTGCTGTTATGAGAGGGTTAGTCTTTCCTAGGCATCGTTCACTCCTTCTAGGTCCCCTGGGTGGCACCCTTGCCTGTGAGTTTATTGACTGCAACTCCCAGACTTGGTGCCATTTGCAGTCTTGATATGGGTGAATTCTGCATGTCACTGATGAAAAGACTGGAAAGGTCTAGTCACAGAATAGACACGGAGGAGCTCCATGTGGAACTAACTTCCAAACAGAGCACGAATGAGTAACCATCACCCTTTGACCCTAGCATTCCAGATACTTTTTCACCCATCTGGTCCACCCATGTAGACCATAAAATCCCAAATTTGATACAGGGATGCTGTATGCTTTGTTGAAGGGAGATTGCATCAATTAGTTGTCTCCTCTTCATAGTCATTCCATCACAGAAGGCGGTCGGGTTGATTTACCTTTGGTGAATCCATGCTAATTATTGGCCTGCCAGGCCTGGCTATGTTTCTATTTGAAGATACTTAACATATAGTAGTCAAATCACCTCTCTGTATAAGGAAAAAGACTGACCTAGCTGAGCTGTCATAGCAAAAACTTTAGTGTGGTTTTTTTTTTCATTCCTTTGCAAGTTTTTTCTTTATTTGTATGTTTCAGGGCTCTAGACTCAAATGTCTCTCTTTGGTATGGTATCTGCAGTGCTGTGTCTGCCAATTATATGTTCTTGATGTAATTAGGGATTACATTGCTCATACATGTGTTTGTATCTAAGAACTTCAGTTATTCATTTGCCATAGCATGGTAGTGGGATCACATTTAGAAACCCTTTAAAAGCTTTGTTAGTGAACCTGTAATATAAAATATGCCTTAGTGCAGTCAGTTTCCATGTTCTGCTTTTGAAATAGTTTGCAATTCCTTAAGACAGAATTTTGTTTTATTTTGTGTTTTGTTCTCTGTCAGGAAGTACATGTCAGCCTGCTACTTCACAGTTGTCACTCAGGCACTGCCAGTAAGACCATTCCCTTAGAATATTCATTGGAGGTGGTATTACCCAAGCTGTGACAGCAATAGCTACTAAAAGCCTCATTAATCATGTATAAATGTCTATTAAGGTTATGAACTAGAATATTAAACATGGTATTGAATATTGTATAGCCTTTGAACATACCTGGTTACTGTTATTGTTTTTAATAACGCACAAGGACAGCATAATTTCAGTTATCAGTTACATTGAATGAAAAAGCTAATTGTTCCAACACTCTTAGATTACATTCAAAAGACAAAGTAATAGAGTAGGAAGGGTGAAGCGCATTTAAAACAGGGAAAAAGAAATAATCAAATAGTACATGATGAATTTTGATTAGAAAGAAAATAGCAATTTCACTAACCAGCAGTAGCTTCATAAATAGCTTCATTTTCCAAGCTATATATGCAGCACTTTCCTATCCCCTTTATCATGAATGTCATGTGTAAATGGAGATTTGGAACTGTAATTTGACCACGCTTTCTAGATTCCTGATTCCTAAAAAAAAAAAAAAAGTCCACTGTGGCTTTGTGCCCTCAGCAGATTTCCAGTCAACTCCATTTTGACAGGTTGAAAATACACTTGAGTTACCAGTCTCTGCGTGGTGGATCCACTTGAGGTTGTAAGTCCTAGAGTATGTGTGTAGGGCTCCTGTGCAGAACATAATTCACGGGAAAGGAAGAGCCAGTAATGTAGCTTTAAGATGAAAAATTGAAAAGTTGTGTGAGATCATGCAGGGAGTCTGTGAGAGAGCAGTTGACTCTTTTTTTTTTTTTTTAACTGCTCAGGGTAACATTTTAAAAAATAGAGCCTGACTTCTTTCCTGGGACTTGCTTTCCTTGATTGTCCTCTTTTAACTCCAGTCTTGGGTGACTGTGATTGTCTGACAATTCATTTTAGTCAAAGTCATCTGTAGAGATACAATTGAAGCCAGAGTTGGGCAAACACCTCATCAAATACAATGAAATAAATTGAAGGAAGGCTGCAAATACTCATCTTAGTATTTAAATGGATTCACTTTGATGCTGTTCACACTCTTTTTGAGTATGTTTCCATAAATATTCTAGTGAATATGTTAATTGGGAAGACTGTCTACAGAAACAATGAATATCCAATTTAAT